AAAAAAAAGATTTTTGGCTGCCTCTTGACTATGCATCTGACTGTATACTAAGAGATCCAGGTATAGATACTATAAGCCATTATAAATAAGTTATAGTGATTATTCCATAACACGTCCTTTTTAAACATCGGCCAAAGGGCTAAAGCCATAGGGGCATAGAACACTAGTAACTGGTATACTGGGAGAGAGGTCCAGGCGTAGAAACTAAGACATAAGTGAGTCACGGTGATCAAAATCAACCAAAGGGCTAAACCATAGGGGCGTAGGATACCGTTAATATAACATTATATGTAACGTCATAAAAAGATACTAAGAAAACAGAAAAAAAAAAATCAGTTTGACGCGAGAAAATAGAAAGCAAAATCGGGAAGATTGAAGATAGTAATGGCGATTACTTATCAATGAGATTAAAATTAACAACAAATATTAATTTGCATAAATTTAACTTATAGGCTTATATGTTGTGCGTGAAATTAGAATAAAAACTGATTGAAATTTGAATTGGAAATGCATAATATTAAATTAATTTGACTTGCCAGACTTAATTCTTCAAATTTCTTAGGGTAAGTTTTAGGTTTAAAAGCTGAAGTCGATGCCTGGTTTTTCTTTGGCTTCACTCATACTGTACTATACATGTAACCGAAATATTACAGCTTGTCGTTGTGCTGAAGCTTATCGTTATATCATAACTGGGTTTTGAATAGGCCGAAATAGTTTTAGCCGCATGTACGTACGTATGTACTGTATCGGTATGGTTAAAACAACTTGTTATTAAATACGTATACTTCATTCAAACGCCGGATTTTTGCAACGATATTTGTTGATATTACAAGCACTAGTATTATGCGTTGCTCCTTTGACTATCGCTATTAAAATATTATTATTTAATCGATAACGAAATGTAGAGAAGTACGCGGTGTAGTATTAATGAAATAGCTTCATAGTTTTTGTTCGATTGGTGCTCTTGTTATCAAAGGCTTGAATATTTCAATAACTGTTTATTATTATTACATTCATTATAAACGATAATTCTGACGCATAAATCCACGCCTCTTCGAATCTGATGCACGACATATATATATATAATTTGTCTTTACAAAACCTCACAAATTATTAATAAAGATAAAAACAAAGCTTCTTAATGCCAAAAAAAAATTATATATAATATATTCAAGTAGTTTAATAATACAATTTAGTAATTTATCACTATAAAAACTTCAAATTTAATTAAAAATTTTATTTAAAATTTTAAAATTTTAAAACTTCGTTTATAAAAAAAATTATTTGTTTATAAAACTAGTTCTAAGATAATACGTAAATGAGATGAAGTTCTAATTCGGAACTGTCAAAATATTAAAGGCTTGTAGTAAATTATTAAACAAAATATGAATTTAAAAATTATGCAACAATTATGAAATTATGATTAACTTCTTAATTCTCGATAATTCTTGAAATGTACTGTGAAGTTAAAATAAAAAATTAATTTAATATTCAACAGATTAAATAAATACCAATAAATAAATCGTGCCTAAATCTTGGAGCTGGAGATGATGAATTTCTTGACCAATAAAGTAATAATCATGGCAACAACAACTGCGATGAATGCGTCGATAATGATTACAGATCTGGATGGTGAAGGTGCAACAGTTGATTGTCGAGCTATGGGATGGGTCTCAGGCATAGATGATCCATTGGATTTGGTATCACAATGATTTGTTGTGCTTTCAGAATCCGCGCTTTGTGCCGAGATAAAGGAAGTTGAAGATGAGGCAGAATTATTGCCTTTTGTTCATGATGAAATTAGCTAAAGCATTGAATGAAATATCATCATCATGGAATAAAATTTGAATATACCTTTTGAAATATGATCCTTGTTATCTTTATCGTTCACACGCCGTTCATCATCATATACAAAAGAAAATTGTGGCATTATTTCATTTTCTTTAGATACTTTATTATCTAAGCTGTCCTCAGAGTTGGTGTGTAAAGATTGATGTGTATCATCCTTATCATCTGGTAACATATCAATATTTGATATGCCACATGTAGAACATATCCAGTTATGCGATCTATGGGTACAAAATAGGTCGTGAAATAAGCAAGTAATATCAGGGTATTGGAATGCAAAAAAAAAAAAACTTTTGTTTTTAATACATACTTTCGTGCCAATAATCTTCTTTCTGCCTCGGTATAATCAATTCCACCGATTGCGCCATTAGCTATTATGAATATGAGTATAGGGTTACATAAATATTGAAAAAAGTTGAACTTTTAATACAACTAATCTTTTGAGCTACAACTAACCTTTAGTCGTCATGAAACCAATCAAACCCAAAAGGACGGTGCGGACTTTTAATAATTTTGATTAAAATAAAGGTTAATTTAATCAGCAACCAATAACTTATAGCACGAATGATACTTACTTCCCCATGCCGGAAGCCAATATTCTGGATGATATCCAGTAATACTTAAACAGATTTTTTTATTTAACTCAAATCGACCGTTTGGCTGTATAATATAAGATAAATTAGCGAAAATAGATGCTTTCAACTGCTATAAAATAATAACATCAACGTACAGTCAAGAGCATTAAATTAGGCGGTTTGAAGGGGTATTCTGAAGGTAAAAGAATGCGTCCATGATACCTATAATGAAAACGATCTTGTAAATTAAAAAGAATTTTCATCAAAATGCGTTACGGTAATAAAGAAAGATACCTTCCACCTTCAAATTCGGTACCGTCGGGACCGCGTATCACAAAATGCCATTCAAAAAGATTATCCTATGTAAAATAAAAAAAAATCTCTGTAGCGAATCATTTTAATAATGCTCTAAAAGAAAGGCTAACTTGGTCTATACTTACCTCAAGGGGTTGCGCGGTGTAGTCACAACAGTTATCTTGCTGTAATTCTCGAGCTTCTTGCAAGAGACGCTTCACAGCTATTTATTAATAAGCATATTTGATTCAATAAATAATGTGAAACACTCAAAAGGTCAAAATCCAACGAACCTGGGCTTCTTAGATTGTACGTGGCCATTAAATTCTGGAGAATATTCCATTTAGCGTCAGTTTTTTAAACCCTATATGAATGTTTAAGTCAACCAATTAAAAAATGCTGCGTTGGCAATATTTCAGATCAAAACGTGATTAGCGTTATACGGTTATATATATACGTATATGCTTTTCTCTTTATTATTTTAAAAATAGGAATTCTATCCTATTTTAAGTATTCATATATACGTCTCACATATTATCTATATTCCACTACTTTACCCAAACGCCGATTAAATTTACACGTCATGGTAAAAGTGACTTTTTTTATAATTTTGGTTAGGACCTAACGCTAAGAGTTAGAATTGTTAACGTGCGAATTTTGAGGTCTCAAACAGAAACACAAACTTATTAAAACATGTTAAACAATATAAAGTTTTCATGTCAATCTTCTTGTTTGCCGGCCTTTTTATGGATGGTAAAAATGGTTTAAATTTTTTTTCACCGATTTTAAAAAACAGGGTGATGATTAAGGTTTGAATAGTTAATTATTCCCATTTATAAATTACGTAATAAAAAACATTTGCCATCCCTAGCCGTTTTTAGCCTTTAGATCTTTGCTAATATAATATAATTATTACTAGCAATAAAATTTGCCTCCAAGTGAAGTATATCAGGAGTAAGACCTTTTTGAGATTCTTACAGTGATTTCAAAGCTAGAAATGGTTTTTTGAAACATTATATTCTCAAAAAGTATATTTAATTTAAAATGTATAATATATACACATATATATATATATACACATCTATATATATATATATATGTATATACGTACGTACGTATAAATAAGTTACCGCATTGATTTAGCAGCCAATCAAACGATGAAGTCCATCCAGGGTAGGTTCAGGAAAAACATCTAATTCTGTACGTACGTACGTACGTACGTATAATGCATGCTAAAGATGAAAGTCCATCGGTTTTTTATTGATTAATCGGTTTATACCAAAATTAATTTACAAGCCGGTAGAACCGTTTTGTATTTCTAACTAATGCAGTTTATTAGCGTTAGCTCTATCGTTATTGATTATTCAAGAACTTCATTTTTAAAATTTAATGTTCACGAATACAGCGGTCACAATGGTGAAGAGAGTACCGTAAAACGCCGTATAAGGTACCCGCGATTTACTTATTTGCGCCGGTGATACAAACCAAAAAAGGAAAAAAACAAAAAATATCCTTTTTTATTGGCACAAAT